AACCGTCACTATGAACTATCATTTTATTAAGAAAATATTTGTACGCGTTGTCTTTATCGACGGAACTTACTTTCCACCTCTAAATTCTAATACCAACTTAAGTTTCTCGTGCTAGTAAAATTTTTGAATCCCATCTTGTAGTTGCTTGAGATATATGAATTAAGCTAATTTGCCTGAATTGATTTGCCCACCTGGTTCACCTAACCTCGCATGAGTGTGGAATTAACATGGGACCCGTATGAAATAAAAAATGAAAAGAATGCTTCCCTCCCCCCAATATGCAAGGAAGGTGTCACACCCTCCTTGGCAAAGCAGCTCGGTTCGAGATATATTAGGATTGCATGGATCATTAGGTCTACAACAGGGCATGTGTACATGCATTATTTATAAACTCATTGAACACTTAGAATTTATCTTGAACGTCATGAGTGATGCCATCAGTCTTCACCCTTATAATATTTTTGCTGAAATCCTCTTTGTATGTATGTTCCATGCCTCCCCAAAGTAGTCATCCCCTCTTCTATTATTCTTTGCTACTTTATTTGACCGATTCATAATTAATTCATTTACATTGAAGCTTATTTTATTATTCATCAATTGCGAGTAGGCGAGTAGCGATCTTTCTTTCTCTTTCTATCACTAGAGTGGTCCATCATATTATAGTGCTCGACGATTCTAATAGTCTAGTACCAGTATCATTCAGGAAGGTAAAACTCGAGTAAATGGTGGAAGCGTCTTTTAACTCCTTCCTTACCGTTAGCCCCATGTGGTAGACGTAGCGATAAATAAAAATATTATGATCAAACTTTATTAATCGTCAATAGTCTTGAATTGTCTCAAAAAATGTGAAAGTGCAAAAAATTTGCGACGTCGGAATTCGAGTAGCATAGCGGTGACAAAAACTCAATTTTCTTGTAGCAAAATGAGCATTCTTTTTTAAGCTAATATTTGGCAATTAATTAATTAAGGGTTCTTCATTCTAGTGACAAGGGATAACTGGTGAAGGTGATTCAAATCATGCCATTGCCTTTATGCCTAAAGCAAAAAATAAAGTGGAAAGGATATTTCTTTTTCTTTTTCTAAATTTATTTTTGGGAATTGATGAATTTCAGCCTCTATTTTTTTTATTTTTTATTTTTGCTAAAGAGAATAATTTGGTTTATACAAATACTTTTTTATGCAAGATTCTTTGTCATGATTTTGAGGTCAACATGGATGTTCTTTAATAACTTCAAAATAATAAAAAATTATTCACTGCTTTAATCAATTTATTAGAGACAAAGCATTTAAACTTACTACAAGATTATAAAAAGCATCGATACTTTTATGTTGCCCAATTCAAAATTAAAGATCGAAATTTATCCAACGATTGAATTACTAATTAAATACTCATCGAGTTATTAGTTTAGGATTTATCTTTTTAGCTACATAAAGAACTAGCATATGTTGGAGTTCGAGAC